GACATGACAAATATAAACGATCACGTGGTTTCCCCTGATAACCTCCGGACATCTGCAAATGAAATTTATCCCCGAAAATGTTTAGGAAGCAAGTTCAGCTCACGTATAGCTGCAGTTTGGGTTAAAACACTTTCCCTCGGTAATCAACAATAAAGAAAATATCGCGTACGCAGAGCAGCCAAAGTTTCGGAGTTGCTCCGGGGAGGAGGGGTGGGGGATTATAGATTCTAATTCCTGCCGTCAGCATAAAATCGGAGAACTCGTGTGTTCATAACGCACTGGAACGCCTTGTAGAATAGCCGGAACACGGCAAACAAACAACTTTCACGATGTGTGGGATTCCTAAAGTTTATGAAATGGCCTTTAATCGTGAACGGTAGTCTCTTTGATCGGTGCCCCCAATTGCATTCCTAAGTGGCTACTTCACCCAATATCCCAAGTCTCGACAGAGGATGGATAACACTTCCCAGACAACCTAGGAGTCAGGATTTAATAAAATCACTTGAAACGATGTCCCTATTTACATGGATTCCATTGGACTTAGCTACACTACCGATGAACTCCTACACTACAGATATCGCTCCAGATATTCCAACCAAAAATTTAGATCTTTGCCTACAAACAAAGTTCACCTTTACGAAAGAATATAAGAGGTGGTCGGAGAACGTCTTATTGGTTAACCGAAACACAACTCACCGATAAAGGCCATAATGCAGGAGGTAGAAACTACAGCTATGGGCTTTGTTAGCCCTGCAGGGGTGGTATGTAGCTGATTAATTTGCAATTGTCAAAAGAGCCAGCTGACACTGTTGGCTCAATAATAGCTTAAGGAAACTGGCATAAGGGGTTCAAGAAAGCGTAGCTCGAGATGTTGGTGCCTGCATCTCGAGCTACTGGGCTCCTGCAGATTTAGGTGATCATGTGTTGGCCTAAACCAACAGGGGTCCAGTCGGGCTTGCTGGCGGTTTGTACTGGCAGCGGAAAAGCTTGTTGTATTTAATTTTAGTAAGCGTAAAGGGTAGATCTAAATTTTAAAGTTCAACAACTTCGGAATCAGCAAATTTGAAAACGTCGATCTCGAGATCGACGTTTATAAAAGGTTGTTTATATAAAAGGACGTTTATATAAAAGGTTGCACTTTAATCATTGCAATTGATTGATAATTTAAGCTTGCCATACTCTATAACTCTTAAACACACTGTATCCTAACCAATAAATCCTTTTACAAATTGAACACTAGATGTGCCGAAGAGGAGAAGGTTGACAGAGAACGGGTGTCAAAGACATGCATAAAGAGAGCGCAGACCAGGGAATTGTCCACTTGATCCTTATAAACAACTTCGATTTCAAAATTGTCATTTTCCTATGAGGAATTCTTTGGACGCTTAGATAATCCCGCACCTCATCCGCAAAATTTTTATTACGTAAAACATAACTTGATGCCTCCTCGTGTACATCGTCAATCATATCTATCTAAAGAATTAAATTGGTGTGGATGCATAGGGCGGGGCTTCGTAACCATTTCCACGAAGTTGTCCGCACGCGTCCAAAATGAGACCAGGTAACAATATTCCGCGGCAACGTCTTTAATGAAGTTTGTGGTTTTAGCATATGGCGTGGCGTTATCCGGTACATCGAAGGCATCTTGATAATTTGTTTTTTATTATATGAAGCGCAAAACTGCGCCCAATGGTACCATACGGAAGCGTCAAACTGAGTCTAGGTGAGCGCGGCAAGAAATTAAACAGTTAATGACGTTTATACAGCCCACTTACGCAGCACATCACCTAGAAAATCATGAAATGATTTTGAAGAGTAATCTTAAGAACTAGGGAAGAGAAAGCAGATGAAGAACGCAAGCGACGACTGCTCGATCGTTATTGGCGCAGACTGAGAATTCGACAAAGGCGAAATATAGAAAAAGCACACAACATGGGACAAACTGCTGGTTTTGTTGTACATGACTGTACGGAATAAGAATAACCATCAGCCACAGCAAACAGCTTAATTTAA